GCAGCCAAGAGGAACACCCGAGGGCCGTGTCGGCAGCTGAAGACGGCGAAGGTCACCTGGGTGACCAACAGTTGTATCAGCATCAGATATGACGAGTGCCATCGGGCTGCACCGACGGCGGAGTTGCATAGCTCCTTGGCCCACGACATTGACAACGTCGTTCGGACCCATTGCCCGATGCAATGGAAGTCTTGGAAGGTCATGCTTGACGAGATCAAGATGCAAGTTCGCGGCCAGTTGTCGGTATGTTTCCTATCTTTTAATTATTTTTCTTTCAAACTTTATATATTTCTATTACTTAATGTATGTAATGAATTTATTGCAGACGAACTACCACTTAGAGGACCTCAACGAGGAGTCGATGGCGTATGTCAACAGACTCTTCGGTGAGAGGTACAAGCAGTGGAAGAGCGACTTGTACCACCATTTTGAGGCGTTTGATGATCCGCAAGGCGTTTTAATAATATTTGTTTAATTATTACATATTTCTTATTAATGTTTATTTTATTTTTTATATGTCATTATTATTTAATTTATTTATATTTCAACTAATACGTTTTATTTTTTGTATAACAGAATAAAGCTCAAGTGAATAAGGGCAATAGGAAGAAGAAGACTCTTCTCCACCATTCCGGCTCGATGCCCTTCTCATATAGGATGTATGCACGGCGTCGGGTAAGAATAATATAATTTATATTTAATTTTTAATACGTCATTATTATTAATTTATTTTGTTCATACCAATATTTTTCTTCTCTTGTTCAATTTAGGGGGAGTCGAAATTCACAGAGATCGACGTCTTTGGTGACGTTTATGTTCGACCTGGGAATGAGTTGGCCGAGTCCCTTCATGTAAGTATTATTTAATTTTAATTCTTATGTTACGCTTTCAATTTATATGCATTTTTTAATTTATATTTTATGTAATGTTAAATAGACGACGATGGTGGAGAGGAGCCAGTTGGTTCGTCAAGAGTCTGCCTCCCAACTTTCTTCCAAGACTCCGATCGAGTCTGTGGATCCTCCGCAGGATGCTGGATTTCAGATTTTGACGCAGATGTTGGATCAGACTCTCGGGAGGAGGCCGGGAACATATTGTAGGGGGATGGGGAATGCCCGACAGAGGGAACCTCGACCGCGGTCATCGTCGCAGGCAAACAGTCAGGTGACTGTTTTGACATCGCGGGTTGCCGAGCTTGAGGGTCAGATGTCGGTGATTCTGCAGTCCCTCGCGCGGTCCGGCATTCCAATCCCGAATTTTGGTGCGTCGACCTCCGAGCCCGTCCACCCCGAGCATTCCCAGCAGACCACGGCCCCTGCAGATGCCCAAACCTCCGAGCCGCATGTGGCAGATGACCAAGTAGATTTTGGAACATTATTTGATTAGTTTTTTTATTTTTATAATTACTTTTAAAATATTTCTCTTGTATACATTTATTTTATTTTATATAATAAATGTTTTCTTTACAATTAATCTTTTTATTGCAATTTCATTTTAATTAAAAAAAATCAAATCTATTTTTTTACAAAATTAAAAACAAATAATATTAATTTTTATTTTATATAATATATATTACTTTTGCGCGACGAAATGTATATCGTCGGGCAAAATCATTTTAAAAAAAAAATGTTGAAAAATATATTTTTAATACACTTCATTTAATCATGCGCGACGAATATTTTCGTTGCGAGAAATGTGTATGTGCGACGAACCGTTTCGTCACGCGAAATGTGTATGCCCGACGAATAGTTTCGTTGCGCAAAATTCGTATGCGCGACGACTCTTTCGTCGTGCAAAGACTAATTGCGCGACGAAGATTTTTTCATCGCGTAAAGTTCATGTATCTCACGCGACGAAAGTCTCCGTCGCGCATTCTTGGTGTGACGAACAACCTTTCGTTGGGCAAAAGTTTGTGCCTTGGACATTTGGGTCGTCCCGAAACGTTTTTTGTAACGAAGGTACTATACGTCGCACTGTTTGCGCGACGAATGTTATGCAGGCATCGCGCAAAGTCTTTCTTCACGATATTTGCGCGACGGATTGTGCGCGACGAAACTTCTGTCACGCATAATTATGTGTGACTAAAATCATCTTTGCGCGACGAATATTTCTTCGTCGCGCAAATCCTAAAATGTTGTAGTGTACTCCCTCATGTGGATCAACAAACAATTGGCTCTTCAAGAAAAATAAGGACATTCTATTTCCAATCTCTGATTTAAAAATTTCCAAACAAGGTTGATATGTGATTGTTTTTCAAACTATTGAATTGGTGGAACTGGAACCTTTGATTGGAACAAACCAAACCAAATCCTCACCTGAAACTTGATTCCGAAATCAGCAAACTTCTTCATTTATTCTTTTAGATAAGATCCATCCTATCATATTGTGCTGATGGTACCAAGAAGAGTTTAAATTAAACACAACAAAAATTGAGACCACAAAATCAAATTTCGATTGCCTGTTCATCCATGATTTAGACTGGGATGCAAAATTTAAGTATGCTTCAATGTGTTTCCAACGTCAATGACAAATCGGTATCTGACATCTGTTTTGGCAAGGCGCTCCATGGCAGTGTTCAAATAATCAATTGGGATAACCTCAACTTGGGCTGTTATGTTGTGCTTGGCTGCAAAATCAATCATCTCTTGTGTCTCCTTCATGCCTCCGATATTACTACCAGCTACCATCTTTCTTCCTGTAACATTTCCAAATTAGGTGCTTGAATAAATCATCATCCAATGCAACCCCCATGATAGAAGTGAGTTATGTCATTAGGCTTACCCATTAGCAAAGGAAAAACTGGAAGCTCAAGGGGTTTCTCTGGTGCACCAACCATAACAAGCTTTCCATTAGGCTTCAACAAAGCAATTGAAGGCAAGAGTGGGTGGACTGCTGAAACCGTATCGATAATGCCATCCATTGTGCCCACGGCAGCCTACCAAATTCGCAGGACAAAAGATTAATTAGATCATAATATAGTTAAATTCACGATCAATGCTACTTGTTTAAGTAATCACCTGCATCTGATCTTGATCAAGGCTGACCAAAAATGAATCGGCACGAAGATGTTCAATAGCTTCCTCCTTCTTATTAAGGGAGGTACTTATTACTGTAACCCTAACCCCCAGAGCCTTGGCAAACTTCACTGCCACATGTCCAAGACCACCTAGACCAACCACACCCACATGCATACCAGGTTTGTCAAGACCATAATATCTCAATGCGCTGTAGGTTGTGATCCCTGCGCATAGAAGAGGTGCAGCACCATCAAGAGGAAGGTTGTCCGGAACACGAATTACGAAGTGCTCATCGGCCACCATGAAGTCAGAGTAACCTCCATATGTGATGGTTCCATCATGGTTCTTGGCACCGTAGGTGAGTATATATTTGGGGCAGTAATTCTCAAGATTGTTTGCACAATTATCACAAGATTGGCAGGATCCTACCACGCACCCAACTCCTACCTTGTCCCCAACTTTGAATTTTTCTACTTTGCTCCCTACCTCTGTCACTACACCAACAATCTCATGCCTACATTGCCCAATTGAGTGTGCATGCATTTCATTAGTTAAATTAATCAATAACTAAATTCATAGCATTAGTCCAATTCACGGAGAAATCATTTCGGTCCCGGCAGCTGCCAGTATGTCATTCTATCACAACCAAACATTCCCTGTCCCACCCGAGAGTGCCATGGGCCTCGCTTGGTTGTGCGGGTGGGTGGCCGATGCCGGACCAAAAAGAATTTCTCTAAGTATAACATTGTTAAAATTGATAGAAAATGAATGTAATTTTTTGTTAAAAGATTGTATGTTTAGTGTAATGGATGGTATATGACTACATACCCGGGAACCAGAGGATAGGTAGAAGAACCCCAGTCATTCTTAACCATGTGAAGATCAGTATGGCATATACCACAGTATAGCACTTTGAATGTCACATCTTTCTCACCTGTTTCTCTGCAACCAAATCAGTTCAATTTTAGACGACAAATCTAAAACTGAGATCCTGGAAAGCAAGAACTACCAACTAAATCATAAAAAAAGAAAACAAGAACCAGAAAATTTTGTACTTAATCATAAAAAAAGCAGACAAATCCAAGATGAAGTGATAATGTAAATCAAAGAAACAACAGCCGGATCTAGTAGTAGAGTTAATAATGTATGTACCTTCTTGAGAAATTAAAGGGAGAGAGAACACCAGATGAGTCTCTAGCAGCCCATCCAAATGCCTTCTTGGGGTGTTCATGCTCTTGAGATTTCACCATTTTTTCTCTTCTAACTTCAAACACAAATCGACTGATAGCAGAGAGAGTTTGTGTGAGGGACAGATTGTGAAAGTAGCAATTTACAAGTGGCACTATGAGACTTCATGCATGTATATGTAAAGATGATGTGGCAACAGGTTTGGTGTTGAGCTGACGCATCGGGTGAGCAAATGACAGAGGGAATCTTTCTTTGCTGACCAGAAAATTTTCTTGCAAAAGTACACAGTAGTCTTCGCAGTGCCTTTAAAATCTCTTGTATTCTTTATAAAAAGCTTGACTCCTCCAAAATGAGGTGCTCGTTCTAAAAATAAATGGGATTTTGCCATTTATTAATTTCTTTTAATTTTTTCTTTTTCTAAAATAAATGCTGCTATTTTCCATCTTTATTCTATTTCCCCACCCATCATATCTTTCCACCTACCATATCAATTTGAAACAACACAATCCTATCCTTCCACACTATTTTCCCACCGTATTTTCCATCCTTATTCTATTATCATTAGTGATAAAGATTCTATTATTCCTAAAATATCATTTAATTATTATTTTTTAACCCTTTAATTATTAATTCAAGCATTTTCTATTTCCTAAAATACTTTTATTTGATAAAAGTTCAGTAGTTTTTTTTTTGTGGCTGAATTAAGCCATTCGATTTTCACTTTTTTAAGTTGTTTTTGCTATATTTTTAAAATAATTAGCTATAAAGTAAAGCAGCTCAATGTTTGGTAAACAATATTTTAAAAGTGCAGTTAGTACAAAAAGTAGTGTCAAAACCATTTAGTAATTTTTAATATAAAACTGTTATAACTGTGAATAATGACTAAAATAGACAAAATGTTGAAAGTGTTATGCACTAATCATGTGATGGTAATGGTGGGTGAAGGTGATGGTGAAAGAGATGAAGGTGATAGTGGAAGTGGTTGTGGTGGTGACGAAACTAGAGGTGGTGGTTGTGGTAGTCATGGTGGTGGAGATGGTGGTTGTAGAGGTGAAGGTGGTAATGGTGGCGGCATGGTGGTGTAAGTGGAGGTGGATGTGGTGGAGGAGAAGGAGCATGTGGTTGTGCTGGTGATGGCATTCGGTGGTGGTGGTGGAGGTGGTGGAGTTGCATGTGGAGGTGGAGGTAATGTCACTTAAAAAAAATTATGATGGTATTTTGGGAATTAAAATAATTCATTAAAGACTTACCTCTGCTTATTTTGAAAGCAGCTTTGAAAAGCAAATTAGAGCTTACTTTTAAAAGCTGCTGTCAAAAGGCTACTACTTTAAAAATAATATAGTTTATTTTTACCAAACACTTTAAACTACTTAACTTTAAATTGAAACAGGTTTTTAGCGATAAAAAGCAATCCTAACGGGGCCTTACACTTTCTTCCTTTTTTCTTTTTTTTTTTTCTTTTTGTCAAATGGTAAAATAGGTGAGTTAAGCGAGTTTAGGTCTTTTGATTAAGTCCTTAGAAGTCATTTTATAAAGGGATAAATTTGTCTTTAAATTTTTTAAGATAAGATGGGTGAGAAAATATGACAGGTAAGTGGAAATAGCAACACTCTTCTAAAATTCTTATAACTTTTTTTTGTTTTGTTTTAGAATTTCATAAGTGTCAAAATCTCATTTGCTTTGAGGAGAGTCAAACTTTACTTTTATTTTTTCGTTGACTTAATATAAAGGTAAATGCTCTTTCCCCCACAAGAATTAATATTATATATGCCTAAAAAATGTCAGGTTCGTTACTAGCCCGTAAACCGAGGACAAAAGCTTTATAGGGGAGAATTGACAACCACAAAAAAAAACTTTAGGGGAGAATTGACCAAAAAAAAAAAAAAAACCTCTTAGGGGAGAGTTCTTATATGGTGCAAGTTTCATAGGGCCATAAGACTTCTGCTTCTATTTTATTTAGGTTTATTCAGGATGTATGATGCTTCACATGTTAGTATCTTATTTTATTTATGGATATGTTTATTGGGACTTACAAATGGTATTAGAACAACTAAGATCAATCTGGTGAAATTCTAGAAATTGGTTAGAAACCTATGCATATTTTAGGGTTCTGGTTCATAACCAAATTAGAATTCTTTTGGTATTGTTTGCTTGAGGATAGTTCATAGGGTATTGTTCACGATTTTTTTTTCCTCAATTTCGGATGTGAGAATGTGCCTAGCAAGGGCTTATAAGAGCATTTCCACCAAGGGGCCTGGGGGGAGGGGGGGGGGGAATTTCCTGGGCTAGCCCTTGGGGAGGTCCAGCCCGAGTAACAAAACTCGTTTTGGGCTGACATTAGCGCTGCTGTTTAAATTTTTTTAACGTTGGCGCGTGCGTTGCAGTGACCCGCCAACGCGTCTATTCCACGTGGCGCATTCTCGAGCTGTCCGATAAGCTTTATTCCAAATCCAACAGCAGCCATTTTTCGCGAATAAAAAAATGAAAAAAAAAATCGAAACTTGCACCCAATGGCTCTCTTCCACGTGGCGATGATCTGGGCGCTCCGATTCAATTTTCCAGCAATCCAACGGCAGCTGTTGATTCTGCCCAAAAAAAAATGAAAAAAAATCGAAAAAAATTTGAAAAAATACCCAAAAAATACTGATTTTTTTTCCTATAAATACCAACAAATACCAATCACTTTTAACACCAACTCTTCATACATTTTCTTCTCATTCTACCATTATTCACTTTGTAGTCAATATTTTTTTCACTTTGAAGTTGAATTTTTCTATAAAAATTTATGGGTTCTTCTAGTGAAACCGAAGGGGCATGGAGTGTCATGGAAGATGTTAGCTTGTGTGAGTCTTGGCTCCACATTAGTCATTGTCCCGTAACGGGCAATGAGATGAAATTCTGTCATATGTGGAAAAAAATTCATCAAGATTTTTGTGAAAGGGTAATTGGTTCAACCCGTACAGATCAGGCACTATCTAGTAGGTGGAAAATTCTTAACAAAGAGTTGGCGAAATGGAGGGATGCCTTGGCAAAGGCGATGGACAACCATAGAAGTGGGGAAAACCTTACCAGTGAGGTAAATTATTTGTAATTTTTGTGTTATTAATTTCTATGTCTTATTTAAGTTTATTTAAATATTTCTTGCAATTTAAATATTTTGTTAATATTTCTTGTATTTCCAATATTAATATGAATGTAGTCATCATAATTGCAAATATCATGCATGACTTTATTGAACAAATGAGGTTGCATTCTATATCTTGCTTGAAAATGAACATCAGAGTACAGAGATTGTGGGATAAAATAATCTTCCAGAAGATATTGCATTGCCAATAATTTTTAAAGTCTCTTGCATTTTCATTTTTTTTATAGACTATACAAGCACAAATATTTTTTGGTGCTACTGGGCAAGGAAAAAAAAGTTTCAACCATACCCATTGTTGGGAGGTGGTGAAGAATTGTAAGAAATTCCAAATTATTCCAACGGGTCCGACGGTAGTCTTGAACGAGA